TGTATGGTCGCGAGGGCGGGGGGTGATAGTCGTGGTCGTTGGAGCAGAAACACATGGCGATTAATTGATAGATTGTATTATAATGTTGCAATATGTGGGTTGTAGTAAGCTCTGTTCAGACTGGTTGTTGAGTTGTTCAATATATGTAGGTTTAAGGTAGATGTCTCTTTGTTTGAGGTGATGGTAATAAGTATGTACTGTACAGTAGCAATAGCAGTAGCAGTACCCTGTATGTGCCTAATGTAGTAGTCGATAGCGACAGTACTATGTAGGTGTATAATCCAGCGCTCAAGCTTTCTTTATAACCTCAACAATGCATTGATTGATTCCGCCTTAGCATTTAAAAATAGCATCTCCAAAAAGTATATGTATATCCAAGCCGCAGGACAGCCTAGTTAGGTAGGTAGTTAATTAATCCCCAGCCTTGTTGGAGAACAAACCTAATCTACAGTAATAGTTCTGCCGCGCAGTGCCTGGTCCTCTATACTGTATTATGTACTCCGCACAGCTATCATGCAGGGCAGGAAGCCATTGGCTCTCAGGATGAATTAGCTCATCTACCTCTGCAGATCCAAACCAACACTCGTTAGTTACTTACCTACGAAGTAGGTAGGCTGTGGAACAATGCCTGTCAGTTAGCTAGCGCAGTGGTGCAGCACAGCCCAGCCTTGTATAAAGTTTCATGGTATGGTGGCTGCAATTAATAAATCTGCACTTTGTGCTGCCTGCTTTTGCAGAATTTCTGCTGGTGGCTGTGCCATAAAGTATAATATTACTTGCATACAGAGCGTGGAATAATATAGCAGTATAATAAAATAACTAATATAATACCCTATTCTATTCTACTAGGGAGGGCAACACATGCTACACCTGTCTAAATTAGGTAGCCTGTCTATACAGGTTGAACTGAATGAATGAAATGCACATCTCAGCCTTAGGCTGACTACAGTTTCCTACTCCGCAGGAAGATGGATTTCTCTACATGTTGGTCTCTTCTTAGTAGGCAACGTCATGTGAATTGAGTGCATAGCCTCTCAGCCTCAGTTGAGATGATGCAATTAATTAACTGCATACTCCCTTGGTTCTAGCTCTATTTCCATGACTTTTAGGTGATTACTCTCGAGTCAGGAGTAGAAAAGCTTTCAAAGAATACCTCCAGCGACGCGCGAGAAAAAAAAAGATGACTTTTCTACTTGCAATCCATAACCCATTCACTCGCCCAGAACCGGGATCAGGCATTTATAACTCTGCAGACAGAAACACAAACACGGGACATAGACACGCCGAGGGTAAAAAGAAAAAAGAGAAAAGAAAAAGAAAACCAGATACAAAGAACAACATTCCCCGTATTAATAAAAATGCAGGAAGCAAAAGAATATTCTCCCCACCAGCTCATTCACGCCCATTCGTTTATTCGTTTGGTTTGGATGTCGATTAAATTAAAAACCGCGTCCCCTGCCCTTTCCACGACCGCCACCACGTCCCCGACCACGTCCACCGCCGCGCCCCCGGGCGCCGGCCTCTTTCTTCGCCTTGTTCTTCGGCTTGGGCGTGTCGTCCACCAGCAGCGTGTCCAGCGGCAGACTGTCGGGGAGGATGAAGTATCGGATGGTGGAGCCGCGGATGTTGATCGTGTCGAGGGAGATGGGATCCCTGCCCTTGGGCGTCATCTTGACCGTGCGCAGGGCCGTGTTCATCTGCGGCGAGACCGAGGCGATGGTGCCGTGGAGGATGGTGCCTGCCAGAGAAAAGAATGGTCAATCTCGTTTCCCTTATATTGAATAAAAAAACAGTCGAAATTCTGTGTAGCAAAAATAATTCGACGCGACTCGAACACCGGGGGAAAAGAGAATCAGCGCAGGTATAGGTACCGTACCATTCTTGAGCTCAATCGTCACCGTCTCGTTCATGCATTTCATCAAGAACCTGTACCAAACAACCAAAATAATCAGCAAAAGAAAGTAAAAAAAAATTCGATTTCATAATCTATCCAGCTGAAATATCCAGGCTTCGCAGCAGACCACGCGACATCTAGATATATCACACGCGAAAAGCACGACGGAAGGAAAACTTACCGGACGAGCTTCATCTTGACAAGACAAGGAGCACCAAAGCTCCTGAGAAGAACCTCTTTAAGGATTCAAAAATTCCACGTGTCCGGAGGACAGATTCGTTTCAAAGATTGTTTGTTGCAAGGGACAGCCAAGGAGGTCTGGAGTGCTCTGCCCGCAGTGGTGAATCGTGATACGCCGCAGCGCAGCTTTGGTGCGGGAATCTTATTCTTGCGGCTCAAAGAAGCTTCCTGCGGTTCTAGGCTGTGGCACGTGACCTGGAGGAGCTACTGACAGCAATGACAGTATTCAAGACACAGAACAAAAAAAATACAGAGTGGAAAGAAAAATTATTCTTAGCTAAGGTTCGAGTTCCTACTAATTCATCTACGAAAGATGCTGGTCTGGTATCGTAAATCGTCAAAGCACAATCTCATTACCCGTCCCATAGTGTGCCCTGTAACCTGCCCGCCGGTGATAGGAAACCAGCATCAAAGCCGACAATGCCGCGCCTTGAAGATCGAAATCTTATCGTCATAAAACAGGATCTCACGGATCTTGAACGTAACGTTAGATCGCACCCCATTCTGCTCGTCGTCCGAATACCCATCATCGCCGCCATCGGAACCCGAATCCAAATCATAACCCTGCCCCGGAATGCTCCCATCATCCTCATCTTGCTCGTCCTCATCCTCGTCCGCGTCGCTGTCCTCCTCGGAGCTCTCCGACGAAAGACCGTCTGAGTTGCTCGCCCCATCAGACCGCTCCCTCTTCTCCTTCACAGGAGTGGTTTCGAGGATCTCATAACACTTCGTCTCGATCCCAACGTACGACAGTTTGATTTCTGGTCGCAGCGTCACGATATCCAGGATCTGAAGGGCCAACTCCCGATGCTTCTTATCATTTGCCAGCGTCGGATCGTACATATTGGGCAGATAGAGAGCCTGCAACTGTGGGATGTTTGGCAGTCTCTGGAGGAAGAAATGCTGTTTCACCGTTAGCTGAAAGAAATGACAGAATAAGAGAATACAAACCCAATCGCGATGGTCCATCCCTATGCCAAGCTCGCGAAGCTGAGGCATCTTCCCGCTTGTCACGAATGCTAACGCCCCCCGAGGAAGCATCCAGCTCCGCCAGTGGCCGTGGCTGGAAGACGGCGTGGTTTCGAACCTCCGCGAACGATCGATCAGAACCTTCCTCAGGCTAGCCCTTTGCCGACGCAGCACATGTCGATATATCGCATCGATCCCGACAATCGATTCGTAAGTGTTACCTTCTTGGAAGAAGACACTCTCCAAGCTGTTCGGCGCAATCGTCTCTTTCAAGAAGAGGATGAGATACGGAGACACTCGGTCGGTATGCAGATGCTTGAGCTTGAGAGGGTAATGAACCGAAGAGTGCGTATCTTTCTTTGGATGTGCCGACTTTATACTCTCGGGTATAGAAGGCGAGAACTGTCGACGAAGAGTTCTCCAGAGCTGTTCATGCTCTTCGCAACGAAGTATAGTAAGCGAGGTGAGTCGGCGCCAATCCAATGCTTTCAACAGTACTGGAGGGGCAAGATAAACCCGTTCTAACTCGAGAACTTCCAGTTTGAGTTTCGTATCCGGTGTTTGTGTCGGCGTCGATGAGTCCGAGCATGTCACATTCTGAACTGCTGGCGGGAAGACCGACTGAGTTTTGGATTCACCCCGCTGATCATTGGAAGACGCCTCCGCTGGACCTGGCCCGTTTCCAGGCTCTGGGACTCGGTCGTCAAGTGCCAAGTCTGCCAACAACTGTGTAGCAGATGAAAGTTGCTGCGCGTCGATGTCTTCCTCGCTTTGCACATTGGCCGAGGCATTTGCGGTTTGCCCTTTACCGGTAGCCGGCTGGCTATGCCTGCTAGAGGACTCGCTCTGCATACCCATCTGATTATCCTTGTTGCTCAAAAGTATGGAAAGAATTCCTCCATGCCTCGGCCAACCGGGAGTCGGCCGCCGGGGTGATGGATCTGGCGTAATCGGCCTGTTTTCCACCGGAAAGACCCAGTCGTCCAGGTGACAGCGTAGCGCCATGCCGATACGTAGCTCCCGAAGCTTGTGACGCGAGCGTTCAATGAGCACGGCCATCTCCTCCAGATATGCCGGCTCATCGATGTCCAACACACTCAAGCTCTTAAGAGGCGGCAGGACCGAAAATGTAGGGAATTCCACATGTCCATATCGCTGCAACAAGGATAGCGTAGGATTGGCAGAGTTGGCAGGTGGTAGCATGATAGCTCGCGCGGCCGGATTCTCGGAGTTGTCGTGCCATCGAACCCAGACACGCTCCAAACGACACTCATGTCCAGGCCGTTCAGCCAGCGAGGCAAGAGCAAGGAAGACGTCTCGCATGACGCCTGTTGGCATGTCCCAGATGAATGATTCGAGATTGACCATCCTTGCGACGGCCAGCGCAACCAGCGTTCCCAGCATCTTGCCCGTCTCCTTCGTGATTGAGTATTCCTGTACCCACATCGGAGGCCCATTGCCCACGGAGAATTTCCGGGTATACTGCGCGTAGTAGTTGCCGAGACGCAGATTCCCCAGACCACTAGAACGAGACACATTTGGCTCCGTAGTCTGGTGGTTTGGGTTGTTGCAACCACAATGAGGACAACAGGAGCGTGCTGTAGCCCAAGCAGGACGGAGTGGCGTCTCCCTGAAGACGTGTTCCCCCATCACCAGCGTCGCTAAGCCATAGGAGAGAGCATCGACACCGGTTGGATGTTCCGTAGCGGCCACCGTCTCCGGCCAGACGATATCGAACCGTGAGTACATATGAGGGATGGCAAGCGAATGCAGGGCAGAGCATGTCAGGGCGAGCGACGTCAGGTCGTTGGTATGAGTTATCTGAATCATTATCAACATAAGCATATTATATACCTAGACACACTAGGGAATACCGTCGAAAGCTCACCTCCTTGACAATTTCTTTCAAGATGTCAACCGGTAAATCCAGCAAATTCAGACGCCGTTTGCCCTGAGCCTCTGAAGAGACCTCCCGTTTTTCTGCATTGGACTTCGGAGTCGCCGAGCCAGCAGTCATTTGACCAGTGGAAGAAAACGTAGTTTGGTCCGCATGCTGTGGTTGTTGGGCCAGAGCAAGGTGGTACGAGCCTGAAGAACCGTCGCTGGCCATGGCTCCCTCATCGTCCTCCGACAGGTTCCTCGACTCCATGCTGAACGCGAGATCGTCGTCCAGGTCGGTCTCCACCATGTCGACGCGAGTTCCTTGCTCCTCCACGATGAACAAGACCGTTGTTCAACAAGGCCCTAGCATGGGACAAAGAGGGTTGGGTAGGCCGCCAAGCTCGGGCCAATGGAGGAATGTCGTCACGTCCAGCCGTCGATGGCACCCTTCATGGCAAGCCCAGCAGGATCATCTGGGGGGAGGTAGATCTTGTTGAGCTAAGACTAGGATGACAGGTGAAGCGCAAAGCGGTCGTGTGGAGAGCTGCCAGAAGGGCGAGCAGTGGCTGTCACTAGTCGATAGTCAAGAGAAATAGTCCGCTGGGGAAGCGGCAGACCCGCCCAGCAGCGGGGAAGATGACAAGGCAGATCTCACGTGCCAGGCCGATCGGGAATGCCTTCCACTCTCACAGACTGCATTATTATTAGCATACGGAGTATCCCGACATGGGCCTGGCGTAAAGAATAGCAAGGCAACAAAGATACTGCTTCATCTGGTTCTACAGAGTTAGTAGAGCACATGAAACATTAGGCAGATCTGATCTATATAAAATTGAACACAATTATCCAGCGGCACATTGCCGTGCTTATTTCTCAGGGGCTTCATCGCTGCTGATGACGTCGGATATCCTTCCCACATAGCCTTCGAGACCAGAGAATGTCACCGATCCACCATTGGCGGACGTCGTAGTCGTCGTTCCTGGCATCACCACCACCAGAGAGCCCACCTCGATCCATTCGACGGATGAGATAAACGAAAATGTAATGTTGATATGTTCACGGCCAGACGCACTGGAAACATGGATCACCTTGTCACTATCAGGGCGTGTTCGACGTGTCGTACTGTCCTTGTGCCCTTCTTTGTCGTCGTCGTCTCCGTCGAAATTGAAAAAGTCTGGCTCCGCAGGCGACGTAGGCGATGGTGGCGACGAGACCACATCCTCGTCGGCGAGAGCGGCACGTACCACTTTCGCCGCGGTTCGAATGTTGCCGATGTAGACGACCGCATTTCCGCCTAGGATCAGAGGTGGAGATGCCGGTGATGAGAAATCACTGGCCGGGATCGTCGCAACGAATCCAGTGCAGAAAAAGAGCGAACGGGGAAGAGTGTTTGCGTGTTTTTCTCGAGGGATTCTAGCTTGGGCGAGAACCATCCCTTTTCTAAGCCGTCCTAGCCCCGGAGCTTCTTGTCCCGTTTCTGATGCGATCGGCTCGATCCCAACAGTGCCAACTTGATCCTCCATGAGTGTCCTGACTGAAAGTCGCAGATTTCGGACACTGACAACACGAACTCGTTGCCATTCGGCATGGCTTGGAAGGCGAGACTTGCCGGAATACGACTGAACAAACGATGCGGAGAAGTCGCCAGAGGACGGTCTGCTTCTGAACGAACGGGCCCGTGGCGAGGAATTTAGTGAGTTGTCCGTACCCTGCAACGACCGGGATCTGGCAGAGTGATGAGCATTGCTATCTTCAGCCCGCGGATCAACTGCAATTGGACCAACGACCAGTTCGTCGCCGATCGATATGCTCCCATGCCGAACCAATCCGCATAGCACAACGCCCTTATTTTCCTGCCGTGTTTCTTCCACAGATGAATAGACTTTGGACGGCGGGATAGCGAATACTTCATCGATATCAAACACATCGACAGGAGACTGCTGACGAAACGTGCCAGAAGGAGGACGCACAATTCTCGAAGGAGGCGTCCTGGGTATTGGAAGGAATCGGAGGAAAGCATGAAGTTTACCGATACCAGTCCCATTGACAGCACTGGTCATAATTATCGGTATCGTATTGGGCCAGTCACCATTGACAGCATTGACCGTTTTGATAGCCTCCTGACAATCTGCTGCTGAGATTTTCTGCAGATTTGGAGCCTGTTCCCCAGTCTCGGTGGTCACCGAGAGCATTAGTGGTTTCTTCCCTGCTGCTTTGATCGCGGACAGGATTCTGGTGAGAGTTTGTTTTAGACTCGAACGCGAGGCCAGGTCCAATTTAGTGATACTGAGTAATACGGGGACCTCAAGCTTGATGCAAAGTTCCAAGTATGCCAGGCACAGGTCGATCTCGGGCGCTTGATCGGTGACGCCTTGAGCTGCGGTGTCCCTACAGCAGTTTGCTGGAATACAAAGAATTATGTAATGAGGAGCCCAGCTTATCAATCCTCGCAGGGTCGATTTCAGATATCGTGTCAGCCCAGGGAGATCGGAGACGAAAGCGAGACGCCCGCCCTCCGAAGCTGCATGGATGTCGTTCCAAGCAGCAACATTTCCAGAAGCATAATTGATCACATCAACTGTGTCGTCAGAACTTGACGACTTAGCGCGGTACCCGATGAGCTCTTGGGCCACAGAACTGGTGATTCCAGACGAGATCTCATGCCGATGTTTCAAAAGACTCAGGCGGCTCTTCCCCCGTCCGTTGTCAAGCGCTGATGTCGTCAGGGTACCCAGAAGCGACGACTTTCCAGCCGCGCTTGGTCCAGTTATGGAGATGCGAATTTGCTCCGTGCTCGAGCATCCACTTTCTACGGGAGTATCCTCATCTGGGCTGGTGGAAGGCTCGTCCAAGCTCAGTTGCTTCAGACCCTCATCGCTCAATGACTGGACGCTATAGTATTCCAGGTCTGGGCTCACCAGAGCCTCCGCAACCCAGAGGCGTTCCGAATGAGTCTCAGCAGCGTCGGCTTCTTCAGTCCATTCACAACTCCCAACAATAACTTTGCGGAGGATCTCCACCTTGCAACCCAGACTGGCGGCCATCGCCCGTAGATTGTTCAGGCTCTCATCCAGCTCATCCTCGGTCAGACCAACAAAAGTCCCATCGTCCGCTACGCCTATCTCGTAGAGTGCCCCCTGACTCTCTTCGAGTCCGGGTAGAAGACGAGCGGGCTTCTGCGGAACCCCCAGCCTTGGAGTTGCCTCCGGAAGCACCGGAAGTACCAAATTGGCAGTTGAAGAGGAATGAAAAGGAGAGGATTGCTGCAAGCGCCATAGCAGCTGCGTTGTGAGTTGCTGCAGCCGCTGCTGGCGGCTGTAAGACGACGGAGGTTGAGGAGACTTGAGATTGGCTTCAGGATTGTTGGTCGGGACTGGGGCAGCAGGTGAGAGGCTCGATCTGGAATGGTAAGAGCCCCCAACGAGATGGCCGGTTGACATGGCCGTGTAGAGCCTTCGAGGACGGAGCAGAAGATGCAGTTTATACTCCGTCGGACCTTCCTGAGGCTCCGGGTCGAGTTTCGTGATTCCATAATCCGCCAATTGACTTGAATCACCAAAGTCTAAGCGGCCATCTGTCCGACTCCTGATGGCTTCCCCACGAGAGCCCCCCGGACCTGTTGCTTGAGGAGTGGATGATCCTGAAGTGGACCATGGCGAGGAAACCCGGGGCGGATCAGGGTCATAGGTAAAAATTGACGCCATGATGCCAGCAAAAGACTTTTCAGTCAGTTGCAGTGGTTAATAGATGGAGCCGGTCTGTTTTTTTAAGCCAGACAAGATGAATGAATGACTTATCGGAAGCGGTCTCCTTCACCGTTGTAATGTTAAATAAAGTAGCAGTATGTTATATATTGGATGTTGTGTGGCACATAAAAGCTCAAAACATGCATAACCCAGAGAGAGGTGTACTAAATGAATCATTTTGGACGAAAGATCAACAATTCCAGGAGTTGCGGTGATCTTGTCCAGGTCGTGATCGGGTGAACTAGCGGTTTGAATACTAATTTCCAAGCTAGTTGTCTAGTAGAGAGACATCAGCATCATGGAGCCTCCACAAACAGAACATCCAGTGACGAGAAAAGAATGGAGGGAGAATGGAAGACAACAACGAGGAAATAGATGGTTGTTGAGGGTGATGTTGCTTACCAGAATTGAGTACAGTCACATCGTCCAGTCATGCCAAGAAGTCAGGTGGGGGATGGTCGGCACGTGCTGACTGAGTACGGAGTAACGGTTGCATGATGCCTGAGGCAGAAACCACATTAAATAGGAGGATCATAACATTCATTCGATCTTCCACTCATTGCGCGATAAAAAGAGAGCGTCTCTAGAAATTCTTCCAAAACCCGTTCGGATCTGTATCTTGTTCCAGTCTCCAAAAATAATACGTAAATTGTTACCAATTCCTCGTCAGCCGGTTTGAGTACACTCATTTCCCACGCTTCGTGAAACGACATCCTAATCAACCACTCCTGAGACAGTAATATTCTAGATACCAAAGTCTGGATGAGTGAAGACAATCTCCTTCCATCTATCCATCCATTGATATGGGATCTAATTGAGGAACATCCATAAAAGCTGAAGTTGACCTTCCCCAATAAAAAAGCGGTTTGTGTCGACGATCAAGCATGGAAGTATAGAATGATCGAGTCTGCAAGGGCCCAGATCAACATATGTTGCTATCTCATCAGGATCACCAATCCGAGACGGTCAAGGACTCAAGCATGTATATGTAGCCTGATTATCAACACATCTAATGGGTCCAATACTCGAAGGTTGGGCCATAGTCAAAACTGATTGATTGATTCCCCTTAATCAAACTCGAACTTCTGTCTACCTGAATCAGGCTTGTATGACAGCCATACAATGTCGGACATGCCGGTTATTTATAAAATAAAACTCATAAGGATTCAAGGACACATAATGAAGCTCATCATCTCAAGTAGCATCAAATACAGATATGCATTTAGTTAGCATCTGTTTCACGATCCGAGTCTGGTTGGAGGCCTTGTTTCTGTCTTTTGCTCTTATCAAGTCCATCCTTTGAACCCATTCTGACAGATAGCAAAATATGAACAACTGAGTAGATCAAAAAAAACCACTTGCGGACTGGACATTGCCACTCTTCATAGTCATATCCCAGCCCTTAACTCGTCGTGCATGTCTGTGTGGTTGACAATTGTTCCTGCATGCTTAGGGTTTAGGGTTAAGAATCACTACATACGCAATATAGGTTGATACGCGTAGGAGCTTGTCACGCGACCACAAAGCAGGTTAGGTACCTATAAGCTTAGCATAGTGTTTCTGGTCTCTATAGTACCTCGTATCTCGCATCATCTACAGATTTTACCATCACAGAGGGAGGGTACTGTAACTTATGCAAGCATCGTCAAGAAAGCTGCACCCTCAACCTAAATTCGACTATTTATTCGACCTAGTATACATGCATAGTACACATAGTTACATGTAGCTACCAAAGGGAACATGATTCCAAAAAAGAAGAACCTTAATCTTTTAATCTTAATAATCTTGTTATCATCTGCATACATATATACTATTATTGCGGTATTTTTATTGACTGCGACTTTTGACTCTATCCCCCCAATGTCACCCCTGTCACTACCTACACACCAGGGGCAGATCATCCGTACCTTGAGGTATGTACAGTACAAACCCAACAAATAGACCGGCCAAGAAGAAGTTTCAGTTTCAGAATTCCAGTTTTCTTAAACTTTATTTTAAATAGTGCAAGATCGCAGATTTAAAGTTTAGGTACCTTTTCACGGGTAGGTGGATAACGTACAGTACATATTTAAGGTTCTTACTGACAAATCTTTTTTTATAGAAAAAAAACTATTTTTAAAGTCTTTTTTCTTTCCCCGACGAACTACCTTAGGTAGCTAGGTAGCTATATTGTATACATGTTCCGTCTTTACTGTTCCACTGACAGTTCACGTAAAATTTCACTTCATGAAGATATTAATATCATAAAAAGCAATGATCAATAATTAGTATTACTATTATGATACTACTAACTATAGTTGACTGGGGTGGGTGGTGGTAGTGAGGGTAGATCAGGACAACCAAACCTTCATCGTCATCATCGCATCGCCTCGTCTTGCCTCGTCTCGCCAGGCTGAAGTCAGCAGTAGTGACGGACGTGGTCAGACCAGATCAGTCTGACAGGTCAGACAGATTCAGCCGTAAGAAGGAATCCCATCCATGAGTCCACGATCGATTGGATCGTTGACAGATCAGTTGTATGGGGGGGCACTGGTTCCACCGGTCGATGTCGCAATATACACCTCTTCATGCAAGAAGAATCGGGAATAGGAAAAACGATGGCGGTCATCTGATTAGACCCGTATCCACCACTGACTTCAAGGTAAATGAAATGCACTATGTAATTCCTGCTCGCAGCACTAACCACCTTGACACATGGTTAGGTGGTTGAGTGCCACAACCCTTTCCCACTCCACCCCGAATTCATCGCTTTTCTATCTGCAAATAGAAAATGAAAAGAAAAAAGAAAACTCCCAAGTCAACCAAATTATAGAGCACCATTAAATCCCACCTCGTAACTCCCATGTTGTTGCAAAAATCGTAATCATAAAAGGCAGAATGCCGCTCCCTGAAATATTCTGAATAACTGGTCCAAAATGCCAGCGCGATCATCCAGTCGTCGTCGACTGACTCGACTCCTTCAAGCCTTTGCATTTCCCCTGCGCAATGTGGGTGTTCCGGGCCGTGGTCCGCGTGAACACCGCGCCGCAGTGCGGACATTCCGACTTGGCCGCTGCCCCCGAGCGCTCACGCTGGTGTCGTAGTAAGTTGCTGAAAGTTGAAAACTCGCGGCCGTTGCAGCCGTGGTCCCAACATTGCGGTTTCGGTCGAGACTCGATCACGCGAACCTGGCTCTCAGGCTCCGGAGTCCCAGCCGTCGAGCCGGGGGTAACGAACGGTGAGGGTGCCACGGGAATCCGAGAGTCCGGACTCGTCGTGATGGGATAAGGTGTGGACCTATATCGGTGTCAGCCAGGAGCACCAAGTGATAATGACCACGTCTGCTTACGGGACAAAGGAGGTTTGAGGAATATCGTAGTTGGGTTGATTGAAATTGTAGGCTGCGGAACTGCACAAGTGTCAGTTTCCAAAGTTCGACAACAATAATATCCCTCAGTTTGCTTTGGATTCTTACGGAGGATAGAATTGCTGATTTGGTGCTTGTTGGACGCCTAGCGGATAGGGCGCGGTTGGATACACCGGTGCCTGTGAAGATGAATACGCATTAGGTGCCGAAAATGGTGGCAGCGGTTCGTCTGGTCTCCTCTGTGGCGGTTGCTCGGGCGTATGTGTTCGCCCAACAGAACGGTCATACTGGGTCCATTGACCCGGGGCAGGAGAGAAAGAATTCGGCTGCCGGTTGTTTGGGAACATATTCGTCGAGTCACTGGAAGCGAGAAACGGCTGTGATTGTGACAAGGCGCCCTCTATATTCCCAGCAAATTGCTGGCTGTGCAGAGAGGGTATGCTGGATGGATAATAGGCTGCACCTCGTCACTTAGCCTTCTGGCAGAGCACACCTAGACAGGAGAACTTACTCTGCAAGCTGGCATACATTGACTCTGGAATATATGCTTCTCCTCCTGAATAGGATGGAGGGAGAAGGTTGACGGCGCTGCGCGGTATTTAGAGGTTAGACTTGCTCAACTGAAGTCCGTGCTGGGCGCGCACACACCTGGGATTCTCAGCACTGAACACTTGTGACTGACGAGCGACGTCAGTCGAGTCCTCTGCGGGACTAGATTCAGATGGGACTGATTCAAGTGGCAGTAATGGATCCTGAAGCTGGTGGGATCCCTCGTAGAGGTTCGTCTGGGGGAGAGACTGTTGTTGCTGCTGTTGCTGTTCTGAAATAGCAGTGGAGTAGGCCGTTTCAAGATGGCTCAATTGCAATCCCCCCTGCAGATCAACTGGGAGCTCTGAAAACGATGCTGGCTGGAACTCGGTGAAGAACTGCTGCTGCTGATGCTGGTGCTGCTGCGTGGGGCTCTCTAAGCTTAACGGTCCTCCTGAAGGATCCAGTACATGGAACTCCGCTCCGGTTGATGGGGTTGATTCCTCCGCGATCCTGCGACCTTGAGATCTATACCCACGTGAGTTTTCGCCTCTCTTCGAAGACATGAGGGCTTGGTAAGATGCAATGGCAAGAGCGAATGCATAGGAATATGTCATCCTTTGCTGAATGAGAGACAATACACCTACTTTCTCTTGTGCTTTCCAAACCCTTTTGCTCTAGCGTTCCCAGCGGCGACTGCGGGAATATATTTCGAATGTTAATCAGATGTTGGCAAGTATCCTAAGGCATAGAAAAGAAAAATTTTCAAGCAGAGAGAAAAAAATTCTCATCAAAGCCTCCCCCACCATGCAGATGAGCAGAAGTGATGTCCCTGAACGCGAACGTCACCGTTCACTGCCACAGTTCAGGGTAGCTTCAGACACCTGAAATAGGGCCGCCGATGCTCTCTCGGAAACCACCGAGAGACCACTGAGGGAGAGGGATTAAAAGATTTTGCAAGCTGTCTGTCCAATGGCCATGCTACCAGCCAACAGGGCTGGTGTTGTCAATCAGCACGAGATGCCGAGGGCCTGGTCCAGGAGAAAGAACGACGTGCGCACAACTCCAATTGGCTCATGTCGAAGGGGAAAAATCTATCTATGCATAGAAGCAGAGGCACCAAGCCCCTGGTTTCAACGTTCCGGTGGATATTGCGACAAAAAAAAATCACGCCTTGTCGTTACGCCCAGGTAACCCAATGGAGCTAGGGGGCAGTGGATAAGTTAGTTAGCATGGACAGCCCCAGCGCCAGTTCGAAGGCCGAGACGGCTTTGGGGGCTGCTTGTACCTGGTGCATATTGCAGCTATACAACTGAAAGAATCGGGTCCCTGGCAGCAGAGGCTAGACTAACAACGAGATGACCGGCCAGTTGGGCATGGGTTTGGCAGAAATGGATCCTAAATGGAACGGTGTCATCCCCGATCTAGTATGCGGTGTCTGGTGGATGTGCAAAGAGCAACAATGGGGAGCTCGACGTGGACTCTCATGATTCTCTGTTTACCTCACTTAGCCCCCACGCCCCAGACGTACCGAGTGGACTAGACCCGAAAGAAACCCACAGAGTGGCTCTGGGCCAGAGATCGGTAGTCTCTATCATAGGGAAAGGCATCGAGTCTTCGGAGGTCAATTGCACGTTAGGTTTGCAGTATCCAGAAGCCCCCAAAGCACGAACAGACGGCCTGTGGTTGAGGTCACTACATGTGAAGCCTGGTGGAGAGAACAGCTCGGAGACTCCGGGCGATGTGGTTCGACGTCGCTGCCGAGGTGGCGGAGATGCTGCAGATGTTCATTTGAGTTTAGCAGCCTGCAGAAAGCCACCATTGGTCTCGGGCCTGCCGATGAAGCTGGAGACTGGAGGTCAGAGCTGGCGGATAGAGCTTGCGACATGCCACCGTGGCGGTTGCATCCGTCACGTGAGGCCTGCGTGACGGCGCCTTCCTAGCCTCGATCGTGCTCGTCGATCGTCTCTCAGCTGTCTCTCGGCACTCTCCGTCCAGCGCGCTGCTGAGTCGGAGTGTTGCTGTGATACGCCCTTTTCTCCGCAAAGGGCAGTCGTGACAGTCCGTCTGGAGGTGGTATCCCGCTGTCCATGACGTCGGGATTGATCCTACGCAGATCTCGAAACTGGGCGCAGCTAGCTTCTTGGCTGCAGTCTGCCAGGTACGCTACTCCGATTCTAGGTCTATGGCCGATAGGTAGGTACGGAGTATTACTGCTATTCTTGTTATCTCGCTGTTTCCACATCTAGATTCCCGTACTGGGCAGGTAACCGACTTCCAGCTAACATCATGTCATCCCCAGTTCGCGAACAGTCTCCAGATCTTAGTCGAGTGGAGTCTCTTCGATTCAAAATCCAAATCGTTGCCTAGAAGACTGAAACGACGCTATGCTAAATCAGGTACAGAATATAGTCCAGGGACCGTGCAGTATTCGGCATGTCGGCATGCCACCTAGACCTAGAAACGATATTTTCGGAGTTGAGAGATTTACAGAAATGTGGCCGAGTCTGGCCGACGCGGGATGAATGTCATCGTCATCGGCATATGCCATCTGTCATCCGCAGCACTAGCCACAGGTGGATGAGCTCGCTGCGACATTGACCCTTGTCCAGGGTCGAATGCATAATAGATCTATTATTATCACTATGATTTCTAACCGCCTTATCGTTTCATTGCAGATGCACATTTACAGAGTAGATTTCTATTTTCTTATCTGCTGTCCATGCAGGGTTCAATTGAACTTTTTTTACTGATATTCTGTCGGAGGACAAAGTTGCTAAGAAGCGCAAGTCATTGCATTCCTTTTTGGCCGAGTCGTAATTTTTTTTCTTCTTCGAATGATCTACTTTTAGTTCTGCACGATTCACCAAGCTCTGACACACCGCACTTACGCATCTAGTAAGGATACGACGGTTAGGTAGCTAGGAAACTATCCCCATCTAACAACGCATACGCAGTACACGGTCAGTACACACAACAACACCGGCATTTCCTTTTCCATCTTGTGTTCTTTTTTGTTATATCTGTGCGTCTAGAGTTCTAAATCTCTGCGGCCAGGTAGGAAAAATGGAGACCAAAGTTGTTCGTCATGTCAGTGCACGTTGGTGAGAAAAAAATTTTCTTTTTCTTTCGTTCT